TTGTATTAACAAAATAACATTATTTAATTCAAGATTTGAAAAGGATGACATTTATCAATGATGTTCTAAGAATTCAGCATGAAGTGCGATGCAAAAATGGATCTGTATTTGATGGAATCGAGGCATTTTGTATGTTTTTTTTATCGTTTTGCATATCATGTCGATATGCAGACATGGTTCCAAACTTCGGTCGGTCATAACAGAGTTGTTTTTGGCAACGTGCAAAATCGTGGACATCATTATTTACGACTATTGTAACCATCTTTTGGAAACTCTCCAACAGCCATGACTTGCTCCAGATAAGCTTCAAGAATTTTGTAATGTTATTCAAACTAAGGGTGCACCGCTCAACAACTGTTGGGGGGGGGGGTTCATAGATGGGACCGTTCGACCCGTTTGTAGACCTGTACAGTCGCAAAGGATTATGTAAAATGGACATAAAAGAATTCATGGTAATAAATTTCAGTCTGTTGTCGCTCCGAATGGATTAATCACAAACCTCGGCTCTTCGAATTATATTTGTAGCTAAAAATATTTGAATTGAGCATCTCTTTTACTAAATCATTGTCCATTTCTTCATCCCATCTAAATAGGAAAAAAAATTAAATTCATTGAAAATTATTATAAATGGCATTTGTTGATAAAGTTTATTCAAGAATAAAGTTCCATTATTGCATTAATCAACATGACATTACATACATTTGATGTGAGGGGCTTAGTATTTGAGGTCATCATAATAGTACTCATTTTTAAGAGATACATTAAGTCCTCATTTTATTAGTAGAAAAAAAGAAATAAAAAATTAAGATGCTTTTTATGGTGCAAAGTAACAAAAACTTTAATAGGTTTGAGTTAAATATTGGCAGTGTATTGAAGGAATATATACGGTAATATTTGTTCATTTACATTGACATATCACTAATACCTTTTGATCTTTTTTGTTGCTGATTCTTGATCTGCTGATGTGGTCAATGGTGCTACTAAAATTAATAAAATTATACATTGATTGAAATATTATTTGTATTTATTATTTTATATTATTGTTTATTATTATTTAATATTATTATTATTATTATTATTATTAACAGTGTTATTGTTGTTGTTGTTGTTGTTATTATTATTATTATTAATATTTGGTTACTTTATTATTTTTGTTATTTATTATTATTGATATTATGAATTTTTACTATTATTATTACTATTAGCTATTTGGGTTTATTACAAACAAGTAGTTTTGCCTGCCATGGTGACTGTATTCTAAGACAAGATCAATAAGGTTGGAAAACTTACCAGTACAAATCAGCTTA